TATAAACTTTCAAATGCAATGTCTTTACAACAAATAAATATTTCCATTACTGTCGATTTTCATTGTCGATTTCATTCAACAATGATGTTGATTATCTTAAGTGCAAGTCCAGATGCAATTGTAAAATGCTATTGTCATGAAAAAGCAGTCTTTTCCGTTTGATGAGTACTTTCGTGCTCTTGCAGTTTTGTGCTCGCCCACATGCCTGCCGATACTACAGCTGGTGTTTTTTAGGCGCCCGCCAAAAAATTTCAAGCGTGTTTTTAAATACATGCATACATACATACATACATACATACATGCATACATGCATACATGCATGCATGCATGCATGCATGCATGCATACATACATACATACATACATATATATATATATATATATATATATATATATATATATATATATATATATATATATATATATATACTTGTCTGGTAAAAAATGACATCTATCAGTCATTTTGTCCGTGATTTTATGTGCATTTTTTTTCTAATCATTTTAGTTATTTCAAAATTATTAATAAATTCAGTATTGTATATAAACTTTATTTTTTATACAAAACAAAATTGAATTTGGGTTAGGGTTAATTAATAAAATACGTCAATTAATAAAATACGTCATTTTTTTGTCAATTCACTTTTTAAAAGACTCCAAACCAATACATTTTTTTGAATTAAGTAACCCGGTTTTTATCATTTATATTAAAAAGTTGCAATTAGTTATTAATTTAAATTTATAATTAAGTATTTATTAATTTTTTGTCAGATATATTAGCTTTTAAAGCTCATTTTAAATTTATTTTATGAAAAATTTAACATAATAGTTATTTTAATGCCAGCACTTTTTATTACACTTTTAAATTTGAGTTGTTTCATAACATTTGTTTTCATGCTAAAGGTTTTTGCTTTAAAAGTGTTTATAAAATTAATCAGAGAATAAGTTTGTGAAGAATTATAAAAAAATACTTATTTATATAAATGTAATTACATATCAAGGAATATGATAATTTAAACAATTTAATTGGTTTATTGTAACCAATTTATTGTAAACAAATTAACAAAAAAGTTAATTTGTTACTTAATTTAATAAAGTAATAAACTAAATAGTTTATGTATTTAATATATTTACATAGTAATTTATGTATTTAATAATTTTGTATTTTTATTATAAATATTTAATTATGAATTTAATAATTACATAATTTATGTATTTAATATAGTTATGCAACAGTTTATTTATTTAATAATTAACAAAGCAATTCGCATAGTATAGTTATTTTTAAAAAACATAGTTTAAATATATTTTCCTTTTTAAATTTTAGTTATTTCGAGCCCTGTATACATCCATATATGTATGTATGTATGTATGTATGTATGTATGTATGTATGTATGTATGTATGTATGTATGTATGTATATAATTTTTTTTTTTGAATAAAAAATATTTTAAGAGGTCCCCCAAGACCATCGAATATTTAATTGGTTCCTAATATTTTCAAAAAAAAAGTTTTTCAAAAATATGTCAACCTGGTACTCAAATGAAGCAAAATTATATAAAAATTTCAAAAATAATATTCATTTAAAGAAAAATTTTAATTTATATATCTAAATGATCATAAAAAAGCATAAAAAATGCAAAATTATATAAAAATTTCAAAAATAATATTCATTTAAAGAAAAATTTTAATTTATATATCTAAATGATCATAAAAAAACATAAAAAATGTATTTTTTTTCATTTTTTGTGTAATAAAACCTAAAATAACAATTTTTTTTCGAAATGATTATTTTTTTTTCATTTTTATATAATTTATTATAGAATTATTATATTATAACTATAGAAGTTGTTATAAAATTTCACTTCATTTGATTACCATGTTGACATTTTTGAATTTTTTTTTTTTTTGAGAATATTAAATATTTGAGGGTCTTGGGAAACCCCTTAAAATATTTTTTATTCAAAAAAAATTAAAACCTAGTTTTTTTGTATTAGATAGAACACATTTAGGGGGTGAGAGCAGATTATTTTCAAAAATGTTGTTTTAAGAGATACCCTAATATATATATATATATATATATATATATATATATATATATATATATATATATATATATATATATATATATATATATATATATATATATATATATATATACTCCTTCAACAGTTGAGATACAAATGGATATTCAATGTTTGGCAATTGTGTTTTACTTCCAAGTTCTTCATATATCACCAAACGGAGGATTCTATCTAATACATGGTGTTGACAACTGATAAACTGAGGTTTGTTGATGCGTTTCTCTGTGAACATTCGTTGTAATATTACAACAACACCATTCTTTTTACCAGAATGTTGCAGATACCATCAGCGTGTTAACGCTGATGGTATCTGCAACAATCATCTGTATTGAATTCCATAGGTGAAATTCATTAAGGACTTTAGAGATTTCTTGAGCAATAATTAAAGCCCTACCCATCTACCAAGCCAAGAACATCCAATTTGATTTCTCTTCTTTCATTTTTAAGGACGATGGATGTCAATGCCTTCACGAGCCAATTGCTTGCATATGTTAGCAGCTTTGTTTGTTGATACTCTTGTGGAGGTCTTCAAGTTGACTAATTTTCTTCTTCATTGTTTTCATATTCACTGTCATCAGCCTCAGAGTCAGAATCACTAAAACCAGATAGTAAGATGATAAGTTGGATGACTCATTAGAAAGTTTTTGTCTTTTAGAGGGATGGATTATTTCTTTATTAGCTGCTTGGCCTTTAGAGTATCCCACTGTTCCTTTGCTTTCCACTGTGGAGATGGTACAATCGCTTGTCCTTGGAAGATAACCATGTTCTATCCACTTTAGTAATGTCGAAAATTTCATCAAGGGGTTTGTAGCTTCCCCACTTGACACATTCATCATAACATTTCTGTATTTTAACAAGCTTTGCTTGTATAACTTGATTAGATACATGAGGAAAATTCAGTTTATTCTTCCGCAATTTGGTGACTTCCTTTGAAATTTCCGCTATTCACTCCTTTCTTCCTTTGATTTTTGGTCCAAAGTAATGGCAGCATCCAATAATTTGTTTTTGGAGAGGCATTCTGTACTTTTCTACCAGTGAATATTCTTCCAAAGGGACCATTCTTCTTATATGAGAGTCTTCAAATTTTACCAGATTATTGGTCCAGACATCCTTGTTCTTCTGAATGTTACTATCGCTAGGCTTGTATGACGCCATGTGTTGCTTCTGTAATTACTATAAAATTAGATGAGCAGCTATATATAGTCTAAAATGTTCTAGAATATTCCAGAATGTTCTAAATTGTTTTAGAATGTTCCAAAATATTTTAAATTAAAGAGATTTTGTTAAATTTATTAAAAATAAGCATTTTAAACTTTATTTTTTTGGAATTTATTTTTAGAAAAAGTAAAACTAACAATAATAATGGTTCATCATCAAAATTATTCATTGGACATCTGATCTCGGGTCATTTGTGATCGAAAAAAGGGCCTAACCTACAAGCAATGTGCAGAAAAATATCAAATATCGATAAGTGGTGTTAGAAAGATGTGTATAAAATTTGAAACAACTGGTTCTGTTGAAAATCAGAAAAGATTTGGTCGCCCCCCTAAGACTTCAACAAGAACTGATATGCTAATTGCGCGAATAGCAAAACAAAATTCAACAATAACCTCAAGACAGATTGTTGAAAATCTTAAATTAAATGTTTCCAGTCGAACTGTACAGAGAAGACTTAATTCAAGTGGTTTAATAAACCGTCTTCAAAAAAGTAAACCCCTCATTAGTGGTATAAACAAAAAAAAAGGCTTAGCATTTGCAAAACTGCATATTAACAAGGATGAGGCATTTTGGAACTCAGTGTTATGGTCTGATGAGAGTAAATTTCAAATATTTGGCTTTAAAAAACGACAAAGAGTTTGGCGCAGACCTTGTGATGCACTCTTAGATAGAAATCTTAGAAAAACTGTCAAGCATGGAGGTGGCTCAATTATGGTTTGGGGATGCTTTGCTTCAAATGGTGTGGGAAGACTGGTGAATGTTGAAGGTATAATGACAGGACAATTGTATGTTGATTGGCTTTCCAAACATTCATGTCAATCCGCTAAAAAATTGAATTTAGATCGCAAGTTCTTTTTTCAACAAGACAATGACCCTAAACACACCAGCAAAGTGGCACAACATTTCCTCAAAAAAAGTAAAATTAACATCCTTAAATGGCCACCACAAAGCCCGGTCCTTAACCCCATTGAAAATTTATGGGCAATTTTAAAATCTAAAATACCTCCTTCAAAACGAACAAATAAAAAAGAATTTTTTGAGGTTCTTAGTGAAACTTGGAATTCAATTGGTACTGACGTCACGTCAAAGCTTGTAAAAAGCATGCCAAGACGTTTAGAAGCAGTCATGAAAGCAAAAGGTGGTGCAACAAAGTACTAAAATGAAAATCAGATATATATTACTAACAAAATATATATATTACGTTTTGTCACTAATATATATTACTGACAAAACATTATATTTCATAATAAAAACTCATAATAAAAAAAGATGTTTCTTACTTATGTCGCATTTATTTTGGACAAAAAAGTTGTAAGATAGCTAATTTCGTTTAATAGAGTTACTTTTGCAATGAGTTATAAACAGTTAAAAATATATATTTTTTTCTTTGTAATCAAATTTTTAAAAAAAACATAAAGTTATTGCAGTTGCGTAGATCCTGACTTAAATAATTTTGTTTTTATTGTTCGAGTTTCGATTTTATCAATAATGTTACTTAATTTTGTCTGTGACTGTATATATATATATATATATATATATATATATATATATATATATATATATATATATATATATATATATATATATATATATATATATATATATATATATATTAGGGATGTACCGAAGCTGCAATTTTGCCGAAGCCGAAGCTTCGGCCAAAGCCACTTTGCCGAAGCCGAAGCTTCGGCTTAAGCTATACGTAATTTAAAGCTCAATTTACTTCACCACGGTGGTTTGAATAATCAAGTTGCTTTCAAAATTATATATCAATGTTTTAGGTTTCAATGTTTTGGCCTACATGCCCATTTTAGGAAAATTATAAAACAAAATCAATATTATAAAAAATTTAAACAAATTTTGTACAAAAATTTAGAGAGTGAAATTTAGAGTCTTAACTCTATATATCTAGCAGGTATAGGAAAGATTACATCACTAAATCTTAGACATTTACTGATACTTAAGGTAAATTATGGTCTATTCTTTGAAAGAATTTATAAAAATGTAAACACGTAAAATGTAAAAATATAAAAGTAGTCATTATTTTAATTTGAACACAAAATTTGGTATTTGTTTTAAATTTTGTTAAAAAGTTGAATCAGTTGAACTAAGAAGCTACAGTCTATTATTTAGTTAATAAAAATTTATTCAATGAAAGCAGGCATATTACAATTTAAAAATGCAATCTGTTCTCCATGTTCGGGTAATAGTCTGTTTCTTTTTGCTTCAAATATGTTTCCAGATGTGCTAAATAAGCGTTCACTTTTTACAGATGAAGAAGGCGCGCACAAAACTTTCTTTGAAAACTTTGACAAATTCAACTTGTAAGTATCTTTATCAGAGGAAGTGTAACGGTATGCACTCCACCACTTATAAGGGCATTCATTCTTTGGCAGTATTGGAAGGCTCAAGTAGAAGTTGACTTCATCGGTGCTGATACATAAAATATAGGTGATAATTTTAGGTTTAAATTTTTAAAATATTACAATTTAATCAACTAAACAAAATAAAAGAATGCTGTTATCCGTCTTTTGGAATGGAGAATGAGAATAGAGATAAAAAAAATATTTAATATTTAATGTATAAACAATATAAAAATCATAAATAGATTCTGTTTTCTTACCATTTTTCTTTGACAGTTAGAGTTTTTCCCATTGAACTAGTGTTTTTTTTTCTTTTTTCTCCGTCCGTCAGAATTTTCTGAATTTTGTAGAGCATACTCATTTGCACCGATTTGGTGGAACAAGCTATATATGTCCATGCTCATTAGTTTTTGTTTTTTTTAATGGAGAGCCATGGCCATCAATATCTGAGTCGGACTCATGAATTTTAGATTCTGAAAATGAACTTAATGATTCTTCTGAGTCTGATCCACTACCTCTTGCTACACCAAATTCAATTTCTTTTACTTGTTCTAAATGAGATTTGGAACAAAAACGGTAGAACTCTAAATGGAGTATTTCTTTAAACATATTATGATTCTTGTCTTCAACAAACTTTAACTTGAAACGAGGATCAAGCATCATCGCGATTTTTAAATCAACATTATCCTTGTATTTTTGAAAACAACAGTTAAAATCTTTCTTAAGTTCATCAACAACAGTTTTTATTTCAGTTGCCGTGTCACAAGCGTAGTCTAGAAACTTTTCCATTGCATAGATAAATGGTATAATCTCTGATATACATGCTGTTTCTTTACTCATGTCTTTTGAAGTACTTTCGAAGTGTTTTAATATGCATACAAGCATTTCAGCAAGTTGCCATTGATTTTCCGTAGGATTTTTTGCATTTGCTTGATTTCTGGTAATGCAATACAATGTAATAGCTTTTTTCTGCTCAATGAACCTTTCAAGCATATAGTATGTCGAATTCCATCTTGTGGAAACATCTTGAATTATGTTATGCTCTGGCAATTTTAGTTGACTTTGAATTTCCTTTAGTTTAGCCACAGCACTAGATGAGTGGTGGAAATGTCCTGCTAATGCTCGAAAAACAGCTATTGTATCACTTGCTGTTCTTTGTTCTCTAAAAATCTTTTTCTGAATACAAAGTTGTAAAGTATGTATCAGACATGGAAGATGTTTATCGCCTAAATTTGACTCTTTAATGGCAGCCATTACATTGGCTGCATTATCAGTTAAAACTGCATGAATTTTTTCATGGGGAATTTCCTATGATTGTAGCGCTTCATTTATGAATTTACTTATATTGTGCCCTGTGTGCGACTCATGGAAGTGTGTAACTTGTAAGATGACATGTTTAACTGTAAACTCATGCGTTACAAATCTAGCTGTTAAACTGTAATACGATTGAATTGTGTGCTGACAGGTCCAACCATCACTAGTTAAACTTAAGAAATCTGCTTGATCAAGCTCATATTTTACTTTGGCTTTTATGGTTTCATACATCAGTGGAATGACTTTTGTGGAGAAATACTTTCGACTAGGCTTTTCTGTGTAGTGTCTTTCTGTGTAGTGTCTTTCTGTGTTCTGTCTGTGACTTAGTAAAACAAACTTTCTGAATAAAAATTGTTTCGTGCGTTAAAATTAACTTATTGTATAGATTTTTAAAAACTTCGAGAATAGTTAACTCTCTTAACTCTCATGCGCTATGTTTTAGTTACATCTAAGTAATTTTAAATGAAGATTTATTTCCAGGTTTAATTTTTAATTTTAATTTAATATTAAAAAATATATAATTTAACATAACTCGGATTTTAGAAGTTGATGCTAACTAATAACTAAATGCTAAAAAAATTAAATTTTAATAATTTTTCATTATTTTACTACCAACTAATGCATAAATAAATTTTATTGCTAAGCTCGAGTGATCATAACTAATTATTAGGGTTATGGTATTTAATTATATAAAGTTTACTATAATGTTACAGTTTAAATCAGCTTATATTGAGTGATTATAAAAAAATCAATGTGTTTCATTATGTAACTTTACTTTCTATCCGCTATCGTGCCGTTTTTGGCCGCCTTACACGCGGCCTTACCACCTCCAAAAGCCGTTGCTGGATTCATTTAATCTTCGCAACTGTATAAATCAGAGGCTTATTTAAATTTCTTAGAAGAAGAAAAGAAAAAGAAGAATTTTGAACGTTCAACTACGTTTTATTCGGAAAACAGACAACGTGTGAACGTTTAAAAAATGTCTTCCTCAGTCGAATGCCAGCTTAGTAATGTCCATTTTTTTGCCGAAGCCAATGATTCGGCAAAAAACGCCCATGGCTTCGGCCGAACCGAAGCCGAAGCCGAAGCTTCGGTACATCCCTAATATATATATATATATATATATATATATATATATATATATATATATATATATATATATATATATATATATATATATATATATATATATATATATATAAATATATATATATAGGGTGTTAGTGTTAGCTAGGAAAAAATTTCATACAACGTTTTTTGCAAAAATGGAAACTAAGGTGCGGCTAAAAAAAAAAAAAAAAAGTCATTACATTCTGACATTTAAAAAAGCAGATAAACTTGACATTTTTTAGATACAATTTTTTAAATGTTTTTGCTGGGTTATCTTCACAGCAGGAATAATTTTTTTACTTTATAAATGTTTAATTCTAATTATTCAACTTGTTTAATTTTGAGCAATCTTCTTAAGTTTTAATTTTCAAATCGCTTCTCTTCTTTGTTTGATAAACTGCAATTGCTTTTCAAAATGCCTTAATAGGCTTAATACGTATTTCGAGAAAAACAGAATTCATAAAAATTTTTTAGGAGAAACTCTTTGTAAAATATTTTTTGAAACTGATAATTTTTATGAATTTTTTCAGAACTTTTTGAAAATATGAAGTCAATAATGTTTGTAGACATCTAGATTAGCTTATTTTGAAAAAAAATCAAAATTGGTTTTGAGCCGTTTTGAAAAATGGCTGCATTATAGTAAAGAGAAAACAAGAACAATTGTTTGTAGTTTTAATGAATGAATTATTAAATTTACTCCTTGAAACTTTGATCTATTTCATTTTGATTATTTCATTTCGTAGATTGCTTTTTCAATACATTTTTTTAAAGTTTAAACAATTAGTTCCGAAGAATTATATAAATATTCAAATATATAAGTATTTAAATGAAAATTTTAAAATATTTAAAATTTTTTTTTAACTTTTATACAATATTCGTATAATTGTTCATCATATTTTTTGTTATAATTTTTATCATAAGATAAGTTTAATAGTTAAAAAACTTGTTTAAATCGGTACACAGTCAGCAAAAATCTGAGCTGACCTTTCAGTCAGTTCCCGAGAAAACCGCAATATACCTATGAAAACTTATGACCACGGTATTCCAAAATTGTAAAAATTTAAATCATCTGCCTACGTCTGAGAAAGAAAATCAATTTAGAAAATTTCCTTTATTACACTAATATGTGAAACGACAGCATCCCCAAAGTTTTGCATTTTTACATTATTCATAATGAAATAATAAAAGCAACATATATAAAAATACTTTAATTCTACATGACTTGACAAGGAAACTCTCTTTTAGAATTCTTTTCTCCTTAAAAGATTTTCAAATTTCATGAAACATTTTTTCTCTAATGCTGTTTATTCTTAGATAATTCTTTGCTTTGGCTAAAGCTCATATCAAAAATTCTTGCTGTTGAAATCAATAAGACACATAAGAAGCCTTATTCCATATTCTGGATGACTTATTGGGCGTTTGTATCTTTCCCAATGTAAGATAAAGCAGTGGTGGATTGCTTCTGTTGTTTGTTTGTTATAAATTCCAAGTGGCATCTTTTTCTGTTTGACAAAATCTTTAACATGAAAAAATACTGCATGAACTTTTAGTGTGACAATTCCAATGTGCAAGGATTGAAAGGAATTTTTGAAAGCATCTATTATTTCTTCAAATTGCACATGCAATTTGTTGTTAAAACATGATGATACCACATCAGCAAGTTTTCGCAAGGTATCAATGATGGGAAAAACTTAAAAAGAATTGTCCTTTTCAGCAATAGTTTGCAGAAGATCCAGATTTTTTTAGCAGCTTATTGCAGTCATTGTCTGAATTACCCCCGTGAAAGGGCTGTTGCATTATGTGTAAAGCTTGAAGCCAATCATCTGCTTTTGGCCATACATCTTTGAAAATCTTGAAAAGATGATTCACAACACCAAGTAGAAGATGTAACTCCATGGGTGGAATAAGATCCATTTAAGAATAGGCTCGTCAATTACATTTCCAAACTTCTTGGCATTTTTGGTGTTTTAACCAGGTGCAGAGAAAGAACAAAATGAATCTTTCAAAGAGCCAAATGTTTTTGGAGTCCCATAGTTTGCAAGATTTGAGCTTTCAGCAGTACACCATGTGCATAGATGGGAAGAAGAATGGGCCTGCAGGCCACGTAAAATTTTAGCCAATTTCATACCACATGAGAAGACAAATTTCACATCCTGGATGTCAAGAAGTCTTAGATGTGGTGGTTTGTCGAATGCCTTGGCAAAATCTAAAAAAACTACATAAGACCACTGTTTTTTTTGATAGTATATGATTATCATAATCTAGTACAATTTTTTTTAATACTCTTTTTACTTCTTTTCGAACTGGTTAATAATTGTTTGCAATGGATATAATTTTTTGAACATGTTTGCTGTACTAATATTCATAGTCGTTTTTTTTATTATTATTAAATGTTTTAATGATTAAATATTTTAATGATCTGTTAATCCAAAGTGGTTGCATTCTGAGATTTTTAGGGTATTTCATATATATATATATATATATATATATATATATATATATATATATATATATATATATATATATATATATACATATATATATATCAACCCTCAGAATTAGGAAAAATGAGGTCAGCAATAATTTGCCGACCTCAATCTTTTTGAGGTCGGCAAAAATTATTTGATACAAAGGTCTGACCATAAAACATAGAAATGAGGTCAGCAATTTATGCTGACCTCAAACACTTTCAGGTCGGCAGTTAGGTCGGAATTAGGGTTGGCATTGCCTAATGCCGACCCTAATTCCGAGGGTTGATATATATATATATATATATATATATATATATATATATATATATATATATATATTAATATATATATATATTAATATATATATATATATTTATATATATGTATATGTATATATATATATATATATATATATATATATATATATATATATATATATATATATATATATATATATATGTATGTGTATATATATATATATATATATATATATATATATATATATATATATATATACTTACACACACACACAAATTTAATATTGAATTTTTGCTATATAAAAATAAAGGTTATTTGTTTATATAAATATATTTTCTTCAAAATTTTTATATATTTTTTTAGCCCAAGTTTTTAACAAAAGAGGAACGTATGGCTGAGGCATTAAAAAAGCGTCAAAAACTTGCAGAAGAGCAGCAAAAGAAATTAGAGGTTTTTTAAAGGTTGCTTAAATTGTTTAATTGGGCTTTGTTATGTATTTACTCTATAACTAAGAGATTTTATGTAGGCTGAACGTTTATCAAGGCTACAGTTTGCAAAAGAAGCTGAGAGAAGTCGAGGTATGTTTTTAAATATTGTTTTTGATTTTACATTTGTGTGTGTAAATGAATATATATATATATATATATATATATATATATATATATATATATATATATATATATATATATATATATATATATATATATATATATATATATATATACATCGTAGCAATCATTGTTGCATTTTATATTGTTACTTAAATAAAAAACTTTAAATTTACTATGCGATTACTAAACTTTCCTGACTTTTAACTTTAATAACTAAAATAGTAATATTTGTCTTTTTATTTAATAACACCAAAATAGCAGTAAAAATATAAATTAATTTTGTTTTTTTTAATAATCGGGCTAGTAATTTTGAGAATGAAAAGCAAAAGAGAATAACAATTTTTTAATAGGGATTGCAATACTAAAAATAGTTTTCCAGTAATTAAAATCAAAATGCATAAAATTATAGCTTGTAATTAAATTAGTCATTACTGGTAAATTTGGTAAAAATTGTTAAAAAATCCAATAAACTATGATTATCCACCCAATAAGAAGCACTTACTGGCTTTACAAATAGGTTTTATAGGTCTCTTTTTTAACAGGAACAAAAAACAAGAAGTAAAATTTAAATAAGTAAATAAAGAAAAAAAAAGAGTAAAGTACAAAAAGTTTAAAAAGAAGAGAAAAAAATAATTTTCTTTTTTAAAAAAACTTGAAAATTACATTCAGAAAGTTCAAATATAAAATGAATTTTAAGCCATTAACTGATGTAAATTTAACTCATTCATTCAATGTTTTTGAATTTGTTTTCTGTTTGTCTAGCTTTAGAAATTAGTATCTACTGTCAGTGTTTTTGCTTTTGCATTGATGTTTTTATGTTTTTTGTCATGGATGAAAATTCACCAAAAAATTATTTTTATAGAATTATTTTATAAAAGTTTTTTGAATTTATTTATAAAAATTTATTTTTTATAAATAAATTCAAAAAAGTATGGAAGGCGAGTTATATATGGAGTTTTCATTATTTTGCAAACTTGAAATCGTTGGAGTAGCCTATTAGTAGCATTATTGGAGGATTTTTTCACAATTAGTTTGAGCGTGTTTTTTTTTTAATATTCTGATTTACTCCCAAAAAGGCTGCAAGCAACCACTATTAAGTTGGGAGTTACTAGAAGAAAAGAGTAGAGTTAGGAAACGGTTGACAGAAGACTTGAAAAGTTGTAGGTTGTATAAGTTTGGAAAACATGAAGATGAGAGAGAGTTCCAAAGGGTTGAAGTGCGGAGAAAAAAACTAGGCAAATAAAAGTTTTAAGAACATGCAAGGACAAATAGAGTAAACAAATGAAACATTGCTGAATGACGAGTCAAGCGAGAATGAGTTTTATTTGAACTAGAGATGATAGCTCTTCATAGATGTTGAAACATTAAGGTCTCCTTTATAAATGTTAAAGCATTAAGGTCTCCATAGATGTTAAAATAATAAGCTCTCCTCCATAGATGTTAAAACCTTAAGGTCTCCTTCAATGATGTTAAAATGTCAAGGTCTCCATAAGTATTAAAATGTTAAGGTCTCCTTCATAGACGTTAAAGTGTTAAGGTCTCCTCCAAAGATAAAATCTGTGAAAACAAGCAAAAAGCTTTTTTTTTATATAAAAAAGAAGTTTTAAAAAAAATTATTTTCACAAATAAAATTAAAATTTTTTGTTTTTTGTTTATTCAATATCACGTTATTATGACTTTTTATTTATGATTATTTATGAGAATTTATTTATGAATATATTCTGTTTACAAATATCATATTGGTAACTTATCTTTAATTGTTTATAATCTTTGTTCAAAATAGTTCATTAAATGCATAAAAATTGTTAATACAAATTACTAGAGTTATGTTCATAACAATTGCTCTGTTTAAAAAGATGTAGTTAAAAACTTAAAAAAAAAAATTTAAATAGGCTCCTAAAAATGCTGTTAAAAAAGTTCAGTAAATTAATAATGCACCAGCCCACAAGCTTTTGAAGCATCATCAATAACAATAGTTCATCAGGAAATAAACAAATATGTTTAAATGCACAATATCGATAATTCAACAAAAGTGCAGACTATTTCAATGGGGGCAATGAAAACAACCAAATATTTTATATTTAAATGCTAGAATTAATGACTTTTAATTTTTTTTTTACATAAAACTTGTTTAAAAAAAATATTTTTTTTCACAAATAAATAGCAATTAGTTTTCTCGCTTTCCTATGCATTGGTAAAAACAGTGAAGTTTAGCAAAAGCATTTAAAAAACAAATTTAAAAATTGTCCTAATTTAAAAATTGTCCTAATAAAAATTGTTTCTAGCGCAAATTATAAAGTATTTTCTTAATATACTGACTGAAAAAAGTCGCAAGAAAATTGTATAACAAAAAATATTATTATTTTTGTTATATTCATATCTACTTTTTTCTTCGACTTGTATCAATTTTGGTAGTGGAAAATAATGCTCTAAAAATAAGAAAACAAAAACAGTAAATATTTAGGTATATTATTTTTTTAACATCAATTTTCTTTTTTTAATATTAAATTTTTTTTAGCTTATTTTATTTAGATTTTTTTTAGCTTATTTTATTTAGATTTTCTATTTTGTATAGTCTTCGGGTTCTTTTCTTAAAGTAATTCTGTTTTATTCTCTCTAGTTTCTTTATTTTGCTTTATACGCCACAAGTTCTTAAAATGCTTACTATATAAAAACATGGTCAAGTTGTCTAAAAAAAATTAAGTTTTATATATTGTAATTTGGAAAAATATAAACCATATAAAAAGACGACTAAGTATAATTTTTTCAAAGCTGATTACAACTCTATAAATTCTATAATCAATTTACAAAAATGTAAACTGGTATTTACTAGCCAAACAATATTAAGATGTTGAAACATTCTGGCAAACTATCTGTAATTTTTCAAATTCATCTATCTCATTGCATGTACCGTTAACTTTTAATAGAAAAAACAATATCCAACCTCTAGCCATCCGAAAATTAGCCTCCAAAAAACGTACTCTCTATAGAGATTACAAAAGAACAGGTAATCCATCTAGATTTAAGATCTGCTCCCGTTTATATGATGCAGAAGTTCAAAAAAATTGCGTTTCCAGAGAGAAAGATTTAGTTGTTAAATGCAATATCGCCAAGTTTTACTCTTTCATAAATAAAAAATCCAAATGCTATAATTCTGTTGCGCCATTACTTCAAACTGATCGTTTCCTTATTACAATTGTGAAATATTGCAATTTGTTGATTATTGCAAAATATTGATTGTGAAAAATTGCAACTTTTAAACAATTTTGATTTTGTTACTGACAATGGTATTGCACCAGTCTTAGATTTACCAAAACACAAAAATTCTTTAAATAATATTATATTTTCGTACAATTCCTTTGTTTCTCATCTACAAAGGCTACCACCCAAATCTTCCAAATTCCCTGATGGATATCCTGCCATATTTTAAAGTCAATTGCAAATGTTATTGCTATTCTTTTTTCTATTCTGTATGAAATTTCAATGTCCAAAAATGTTATCCCTAGGATCTGAAAAACCGCAATAATATGCCCAATATTTAAAAAAGGAAACCCGTCGTTATCTACTAATTATAGACCTATTTCTATGACATGTATTTTCTGTAAAATTATGGAATCAATTATCATGGAAAGCGTTACAAGTTATTTACTCCTGAATAATTTTATTTTTGTGCATCAGTACGGTTTCTTAAAACGTAGGTCCTCGTGTACTGCGTTTAATAATAAAAAGATAGTTGATATCGTCTATATAGACTTTAAGAAAGCCTTCGATACTGTGTCTCATTCTAAGTTACTATTTAAACTGCGTTGTTACGGTATCAAGTATGAGTTGCTAAATTGGGTTACAAACTTCTTGACAAATCGTTCTCAACATGTTTGTATTGATGATTTATACTCAAATAGCATTCATGTAAAAAGTGGAATAACTCAAGGAACTGTTTTGGGACCCATTTTATTTTTAATTTTTATAAATATAACCTCGTGTATTGAGTGGGATTGTGGAATCAAGCTTTATGCAGACAGCAAGTTGTATCAAGCGAGAAAAGATGGGAAAAGAAAAGAGAACTTCAAAATGGTAAAATAATTGTCAACTCAAAATATCTACCAAAAAATGTTTTCCTGCGATAAGGAAAGAATCTATTACTAGAACATTCATACTTGTTGGATATCCACATACCTATTGAATCAATTGATTCAATCTAATATTTATTTCTTCCGATATGAAATTTTCTAAACACTGTTCTCACATTGCTAGCAAAGCAAGTTCTTGTGCTTACTTACTCTTAAAGTCTTTCATCAGTAATGGTTCCCAACTTTTGATAAGAGTCTATAAAGTTTATATCATGTACCCCTGTGTGGAATCCGTATCTCTTAAAAGATTTATGTCGGGTAGAAAAGATCCAGAAACATTATACAAGAATTGTCTGCAAACGGTGTTGTATTTCATATAAAGATTTGATATCTTCAATCTTGACACAAAATTTGATATCTTCAATCTTGACTCTCTTGAATGCCGGAGAATAACATTTGATCTTTGACTTATAAGATTATGCACAACATAGTTGATTTGCCTTTATCTGATTTTTTTACTCTTGCTCCTACTTATTATTCAACTAGATGTCATTCCCAAAAATTAACATCACATAACAACTACATCAACGATATAAGGAGATTTTTTTTCAGTGCAAGAGTTACTAAGATATGGAATTCTTTACCTGATTATTTGGTGTATTCCTCTTAATTGTCTCTATTTAAATCAAATTTAAAAACATACAATATTCAGAGGCACTGTTTACTGTTTTAAACTTGGTGTTACATAAGAGTAATTTTCCAATTACCTGTATCACCTTTTTGTATTTTTGTTTAAATGCAAATAAATTGAAATAATAAAAATAAAAAAATATATGAAACCGGGAACGCTTTATATATCAAACTTAAATTGGTTGTTTAGATAAGCACTCTGATGTCACACTGAAAAATCCTACTGCCATGGCTTAAATACATACATCGACTGACAAATAGCGTGACTCACAGTAGAGTGCTGCTACATTGACTGAGGGTTTTGGATGGGGTAGCAATCTTTTCTTTCATTATTCTTCGTTTGTTTTTTTCTTCCTAAAAACATGGTATGTTATAAAGATGAGCAAGACTAGTTAGCAAATGTTTTTATAAATCAGATATAAAGATATATATATATTTGCTAATTACTTATATACTGACATGTGTGTGTATATAGTCTTGCATGGTAGTCAAAAAAATTCTTCCATAAACTTTAGTTTTAGAGAGAGTACTAATAAACCAGACCAGAAAAAGATTTAAAACTTAAATGTTTTTTTTTTTTTAAATAATAGGTTGCTTGCCCAAACAAAACCCTCAGTCGATGTAGCAGCACATCCTTGTAGCAGTAGTCTATAAGATTGTCGATGTAGCAGCACTCCTTTGTAGCAGCAGACTATAAAATAGTTGATGTAGCAACACTTCTTTGTTGCAGCAGGCTATAAAATAGTCAATGTGGCAACACTCTGCACTTGTTTTTAAAAAACAAAAACAAAAAACACTATTAATTAAAAACACTTTCTAGTCATTATTATTGCGGTTTTTTAAAAAGTGATAAAAATTAATGTACTTTCGTATTATTTTAATTGCTTTAACTTCTAGATGACATTAAAATATAGCTTATTTGTTAAAATTGTTAAAATGTTGTTGAAAGAGACTTTTTTTTACAATAGTTTTTTTTGACTATGAGATAAGCGGATATATATATATATATATATATATATATATATATATATATATATATATATATATATATATATATATATATATATATATATATATATATATATATATATATATATATATATATATGTTGCATGCTGGTGTGTATTTAAGTAGCAAATCTATACTGAATTATAAGATACATAATATATTAAACATTATATCCTAGCATCAGGTAACAAACCCTCCTAATATTAGTTGGAAAAAACTCCATATTTAACTGGAGCAAGGTCCCAGGCCTCAACTAAAATTTTCACTTACAATCACACCTATAAAATTACAAAAAATGATTTTAATGTTTTTTTATATTGTAGATGACTTTGATAGAGGAGATAGATATAGCAGAGAAAAGTATAGAAGAGAAAGAGAACGTGAACGTGAAAAAGAAAAAGCAGAACGAACAGAGGTAATGTTTTATTAAGTAATTTTTTTTTGTTTTATTAAGCAATTTTTTATTTTATTTTCTATTAGTTTTTTATTTGTTCGTTTTTGAAGTATTGCAATAATAAAAGTATAAGTTTTATTGATTAAATAAATTTCAAAATTAAATTCATGAGCTTCCACTTTTCTTACTACATATATACTGGAATTAATATTTATTTATTTCATAAATTATCAATTATTTATTTCATTTGAAACAGTATAGATATCATGTATAAAATATTTTATTAGTAACTATAACCTTATAAGTTTTTTAATTTTTTTAGTTTTATATTTTAAAGTAATTTAATAAATTTACAAATTTTACTTATTTCTGATTTTTTTTTTGTTACTTTTTTACTAGTAAATTAACTTAAATGCAACTAGCTTTAATGCTTATTAAGTTTTTACCTAATAAAAGTTTTTACAGTTTTTAACTAATGTATTGAATAATATGAATAAAAAATAAATTTTCTTTAGTTTTTATTTAAAAAAGAAATTTTATAATTTTTGTACAGAATACTGATGTTGATGGTTCAAAAGACGTGATGTTGAAGGTTTATACAATTTTTTTATAATGGTTCATTCTTATGACCATTCACATTTTTTCAATATTTTTTGTAATTTTTTAAAATGTATTCTTTGTTCTTCAAATCAATGGAATTTCTGTAAAGATATTCATGACTGTTGTTTGATTGAACTCCACATGAACTACAAATCTTCTCTATACTGTCAGGATGATTTTTGTTAGGCAAAAAATCTTCTCTATATTGTCAGGATAATTTTTGCTAGGCCATTAATAATTTTATTAAAATAACTAGTAATATCCCATAGTAAATTGCCTTTTTTTTACAAATAATCACCAATATATTGCTTCTCCTTGCAAATACCTATCAATATTTTGTATTGATATATATCAATTAATGTATTAATTGCTTGTCCTCAAAAATACTCATCAATATACTGTTTGCTCTTGCTGGAATAAGTCAATAAATGTTTGTCCTTACAAATACTTACAAATTTAGTTTGTCTTTGCAAATACCTGTCAGTAAATCTTCTCAGCATAAACTCTATATTATTAGTATGTTACTTTGCAAATATTTATCAGCAAAATGTTATTTTACATAGTTTTCGAATTAGGATTAAAGCTAAAATGGTATCTTACATTTGAAAAGTATTATAAAAATTATTCATGTTTAATTTATTTAAAATTGATTCAAATTTATTTTATTATTTGTTTTTATTTATTGTATTGTTTGCAACTATAACAAAATTATTGTGTTTTTCTATTTCATAGCTATTGTTTTAGTTATTGTTATTATTGCTGTTGTTATTATCATTTTTATTCTTATCGCTATTATTATTATTGTTTTTAGGGCTATAGTACATCTTAGCTTTTGAAAGTATATATAAAAATTTTTTTATTTAGGGCAGAGACAGAGAAAAAGAACTTGAAGCTATCAAAGTGCGCTTTGTTTAAAATTTTTGTCTATAATATTGCTTTATATATAATATATAAATAACTATGTAACTGTTAAGAAACAACGTTCTTCAAGTTTTATTCATCACAAAGTTCATTATTTGTACACGAAAATTAATAAAATCAAAAGTATTTAAAAAAAGTTGATATCCTTCTGGACAAAACAAGTGCAACTACACAAAATGTTGACCAAGCTGTATTTCGCTATCAATATTTCGTGGCGAATCCTTTGTTGTTGATCACAGCCTTGCATCTTCGAGGCATAGATTTGATCAGGTGATCAATAAAACTTTGTGGAATCGCTCCCCAGGCCTTTTGGATTTTTTCAAACAGTTGATCCTTATTACAAACACCTTCACGATTAATTCTGCGGTTGATGATCTCCCACAGATTCTCGATAGGGTTGAGATCCGCAGATTGAGGTGGCCAATCCATCATCGATAGGTGGTTGTCTTGAAATCACTGCTTGACTACTTTTGCTGTTTGTTTCAGATCTTTGTCTTGTTGAAAAACCCATTTTTTTGGCATATTCCATTCAGCATGAGGTAACAACATCTTTTAGGATATTTTTATACATAAACGGTCCATTATTCCATCGATTCGATGTATTGGACCTAGACCGTTAGCAGAAAAACACCCCCAGACCATTACATTGCCTCCACCATGCTTTACTGTCTTATGGCAGTAAGGTAAATCAAGGCGTTTTCTGGCCGGTCGACGTACACGGCAAATGCCATCGCTCCCAATGATGTTGAACTTCGATTCATCACTGAACAGATCAGTTCGTCACTTCTGCACATTCCAGTCAATATGAGATGTAGCAAACAGGAGTCTTTTCATCTGGTTCTTTAGTGAAATCAGCGGTTTCTTTGCAGGGCATTGAGAAAACAATCCGGCTTCAACAGCACGTTGTCTGATTGTTCGGTTTGATACAGGCAGCTCTAATTGCTTTTGTTATTTGCTGCCAACTTCCCCGTAAAATGATATTTGGAACATAGTCTTGATACGGTCCATTTTTTTCATCGCCAATAATTTTCTTTCTTAGTTCCAATCCAAGACTGTTGGGAGCCATTTTTGCACTTGAAGTCATAAAAATAATAAAAATAAATAATCACGCTTCTCAAGGCTTACTGTGTTACATTTACCTTGTGATGATACAATAATGCTCTGTGGAACACAATGTCTTGATTGGATGTGGACTGTATTGATGTAATGAAACACTTGTTGCGTTTCACTTCTTGTATTGATGTTCTTCGATAAAACATTTTGATAAAACTCACTTCGATAAACTGTCTTGATAAAACTGACTGATTGACTTCCATATAATGACTGAATTACATGTTGGTTTACATGTCTCTTATATAGTAAAATGAACCTGTGTGAACCTGTTCTGGAAGATTCTAGATGCTTCTTTTCGATGCTTCTGGATACTTCTGGATGCTTCTGTATGCTTCCAGATGCTTCTTCTGGAAACTTCTGCATGCTTCTGGAAACTTCTGGATACTTTCTTTAATTATTAAAAAACTTCCGTGACGTTGACACGGACCAGACTTAAGAAAATGAAACAAACCAAAAAAGTTCCATCGGTTTTGTCCACTGCAAAATGACACTTGTCAACGAAATTCTGCCTGTGTGCTGTCACCTGTCAGCTAATTGCTCATGTCATGGCATGCTATGACTCCAGACTCCTGAACTGTTTGCTGTGGTAGTATAGTTCGTTTTGTTTTTAAGACATGTAAAATTTTTTAGCATTGTTCGATGTTGGTTGCAAATGTTTTGTCCAATACTATATATATATATATATATATATATATATATATATATATATATATATATATATATATATATATATATATATATATATATATATATATATATATATATATATATATATATATATATATATATATATATATATATATGCGGTAGTGGTGTAGTGGTAGAGCGCTCGCTTCATAAACGAGTGGTTCCGAGTTCGATCCCCACCACGTCCCTCCTCGTCTGTAGTGGCCTTGAGGAGGTGAATTAAAATAATATATATATATATATTTATATATATATATATATATATATATATATATATATATATATATATATATATATATATATATATATATATATTTTAGCTGCAACCTAATTATTAATTTAAATTGTTTTGTTTGTTTGTTTTTTGTAGTTTTTTTTTATATAGTTGATGAAATAAAATTTTTTAAAAATTAGAATCGGTATCTTGGAGTAATAAAGAAAAAAAAGAAAATTCGTAGATTAAATGATAAAAAATTTGTTTTTGATTGGGATACTTCTGAAGATACTTCACAAGACTATAATGCATTGTAAGTTGTATAATGCTTTTTAAAAAATTATGAAGTAATATAATTTATAATTAAAGTAAAAAATCTTCCTCTTAAATTTATCATTAAAAGAATAATTTACTTATCAATTAATCATTTTTCTTTTACTGAAATGTTAAAGTACTGAATTTTTACTTTTGCAAAATCTGTAATTTTTTACCATTTTTAAATAATAGATATAGAGAAAGACATGAAGCTTTGCTCTTTGGGAGGGGAAACAAAGCAGGGATTGATATTAAGGTTAGTTATTTTTAATTTTTTATTTGAAATGTTTTTTACTATTTGGATGATTTACTAGCAAAAAAAGACAACTATTGTTTCTGAAATTTGGTAAACATTTCGTAAAAGTTTAGTATTTTATTGATGGTGTAGTAAAGTTTGTGTTTAATGTATATATGTCAATGTGTTTATCAAATGCATTTCATGTTGATTCCAAATTTGAAGACAGAATGTACTTCCACCTAACAAAGTTTTTGCTTTTAACACTTAACAAAAAGAAAAAACCAAAGTTTAAAAAAAATTAAAAAAATCATATTTTTATTTAAAATCTAAATAAGCTTGAGCGGCACAATAAAGTTTTATTTTAAAGTGCAATCTAAACCCAGATCACAAAAGTAATTAAATTTAAGAATGTCTGTAAAGAGAGAGGAGAATTTCTGTAAGAGTTCTCTGAGAGGAGAATTTCATTTTAGTTTTAGCAGACATTGTTTCTTAAATACCTCACACCTATGTGCATACATTTACAGAAATTGTTTCTTAAATACAAACCTTACGCCTATGTGCATACACTTATAGAGTGCAAACTTATGCTTGTGTGGCAAACAACTTTAAAAACAGGAATAAAAAAAGATTCAAATATATAAACAAATAATTATAAATTATTTATAAATAATTATAACTTTGAATCAATTAAATGTATTTGTTTGAATCAATTTTTTTTATTCAAACATGAGATTGTGTATTAGTGATTGTGTCTACATAATCTGTCACTTCTATTGTATATGTACTAGAGGAATGCATCATTCTTTAATCAAACAGTCTAGTATAAAATCTGCATACCTGCTTAAATATAATACAAATTAAAAAGTAATATATAATAATAAAATAATGTTAAAATATATATAAAGAAAAATAAATGTAAAATTGAATTTTAAAGCGTCAGCAGGTTATTTTAGTCTTTATAAAAGTATGAAAAAAATATTAATGATTAATAATACAAAATATTTATAATAATTAAAATCTGTTCTATTTTTAATCTGCAATATTTTTTATTATTTTTTATTATTTTTAGTTGTAAAAGTAAAAAAAATACACAATAGTATGCATTTTTGAGATATGTGTTTCATTTATGGAGCATTACTTGTCAAAGAGATATGCTTTCTGGCTTTAATAAATTTGCACTTCAATTATGTTTAAAATAATTTTTAATTTCCAATGCAAAAAGTCATTCTTTATTTGAATGTTCTTAGTCAAAGTGTCAAATGTTAATAAATATTAATGCTAAGATAATATGTTTAATAGACATCACTAAGATAATATGTTTAATAGACATAAAATAATTTGAAAGATTTATGTTAATTAAAACATTTTTTATTTATTTCAATTTCTAAGCTTAACTTTGAGTCTTAATCATGTTATACAAAGACAAACAAACAAAAACCTTTTATATAACACCTGAAAAACTATAAATACAAATAAAATATAAATATAAATACAATATAAATATAAATACAATATAAATATAAATACAATATAATAAAATAATAATAGTAATATAATAAAATAATAGCATAATAATATAATTTAAAAAAATATATAAATAAACAATAAATATATAAATATACAAAAAAAATATTTTTTTTAGTTAATAAAAAAAAATTAAACATCGAAAGTAGCAGCTTATACTGTCAAAAAAAATTTTTTAATTTTTTTGTTATTATTTCACAGGATAAATTCTAACCCTTGAAGAATGGTTTGTGAATAATGATTACAAATCTTTATACTAAATCATGAAGTATCTTGATATCAGGGTGTTAGCCAACCCAATGGCACCACATGTACTCCAGAATTCCCAATAGGTTTAAAATTCCCAAAATTCTATGACCTTTTTTTTTTTTTTTTGAAGTAAAAAGACAATTTTAATAAGAATTCCCATTATTTTATAACAATAAAAATAAGTATTTCTAATATCGCATAAACGCAGTAAAAAATAAATATTCCTGGCTGGCACCCTGGATATGCCATATGAAATAAACTGTGCATAAATTTCTTAATAAAAATGATAATAATCTTAAATTTTAAAAATCTTAAATTTCTTTTACTATTACAATTAAAAGTTAAGAAAACGTGGAGATGTCATTACGCCACCAAGAAAACATGGAGAGTATTGTCATCACGCCACCTGCCACGTGGAGAGTATTGTCATCACGCTACCTCAACTCGTTTCTCCGCGCAGCTGCCTTGTTCGTCAAGGTTCGTGTTTCGGAGTTATAGAGTTGAGAGAGGGTTATAGCCACAAAATAAGTAGCCTCCTCGTTTGTAGTGGCCTTCTCGGCCTTGAGGAGGTGAAGTAAAATAAAAATAAAAATAAAAAAAAAAAAAACCTGCCACATGGAGAGTATTTTCATCATGCCACCTGCCATGTGAAGAGTATTGTCATAGCCAACTGCCTAAAACCAGCCTAGGGGCTCCAACAACTTCAACAACAGATCTTATGTAAACAAAGAAACAAATTGCACACATAAATAGACTTCTATATTGAAAATATAGAAGTCTATTAAAATAAATTTCTATATTGTTTAAATTTTATGCTAAATAATTTAAAATCAACTAAATCAATTATGTTGGTTATAGTTTTTTTTAACTAGTTTTATGGCATGCGCTGAGTATATTTCAAGGAAATAATAAAGTAGTTTATAACTTACAGGTTTTCTACTCCTATAGATTTATTTGTAAGTTACTATTTCTTTTACAAAAATGCATCTTTCTAAAAAAATGGTGTTAACATTTTTGGGTAGCTTAAGCAATAAGTATTTTTGTTGCTTATTTTATTTGTATTTGTATCTTTTATATTAATAATTCTTTTAATTGCTATTATTATTTCTATAATTTTTTTTTTTTTTTGTGTACAGGTTCAAAAGAAAGAAAGTAAGTTTTATGAACAGCTCATGGAAAAGAGGCGAACAGAATCTGAAAAACTACAAGAAATGTGTGTAGTTTTTTGTTAGAATTTTATTTAAAATTTTTTTAAATTTTATTTAAAATGTTTTTTGTTTTTGCAGAAAAAATTCAAATCGTATAATAGCCAAAGAAGACAAACTTAGCCATAAAGAACGTCACTGGAAGATGAAAGAACTTCATGAGATGACAGATCGTGATTGGCGTATTTTTAAAGAGGACTTTAGCATTTCCGCAAAAGGTAAATTTTTAATCTTGAAAACTAAACTGGAATTTAAAGCTTCTCAAAATTAATTTTAATATAAAATATATGAAAAAATCAACATAAAAATAAAGTGAAACATGATTAAAATGAACTTATTTAATTATCTAATTAATAAATTTCAATTAGTTTTAAATGTTAAAACTTATATAATAAAAGTAATACAAGGTATTGCAATACTCTTTTAATACATTTATCTATATTGTGTAATATATTGTGCAATAAATTTATTCCTGTAATAAATTTAAATTCAAGAAAAAGAAAAACTCATAGGATAAATTGTGATTTAAAGAATCTTATAAGAAATTAATTGATTTTTATATACAAAAATTGTGCTTTAAACTGAAGTGTCAAAAAATTAAAATTATAACACAAAGAATGCTGCAAACAAGTTAATTAAGAAATTTGGAAACCCAGAAAACAATATGTATTAAACCTTGTTCACAAATTCAAAAAAAAAACAACCTAAATCTCTCCTTTATGGCTATATTGATAAGCAAAGAGCTGTAAAAAATTCTATAAAAGTGAACAAAAATTATGAAGGTTGCATTTTTAATGATCTAATTGCAATTGCTGATTTACTAAATGGCAAATTTCATACTGTTTTTACAATGGAGGGTGTTGGACATCTACCTGTCCCCCCTCCCTTCGATTTAATGGTAAAATTGATTTTGATTTTTATTCAATCACAATTGAAAGTGTTAAGTTAAAACTACAGAAATTAAATGTGATAAATCAATAAATGTGATAAATCAATGGGACCTGATCTTGTTCATCCAAAACTTTAAAATACTGTTTAGATTCACTGGCGCCTCCACTAGCATTAATTTTTATTTCAAAATGCAACAAAAAAGTTTTCTTTGCGTTCAAAGTTAAACAAAACTTTATGCTGTTGATACAAAGATTATCAACAGTCGAAAGTTAAGAAAAAGTAGAAATGATTCAAACTGACTTGGCTAAAGCTGTCTATTGGTCAAAAAAATGGTTAATTTCTTTGAATTTTGACAAATGCTTAGTTATGCATTATTAAACAAAAAACAAAAGTCATACCATCTAATAGAGAAATTAAAAAAACAGTTTTAATACCAAATCTGGGAAAAAATTTTTCAAATGATTTTCAGTGGTAACAATGGGTTTCATCTACTTCGAAAGCAAATTGAATTTTAAGACAAATAAAAAAAATTAAGCGCAACGTTAATTTAAGTATTTCTATGACCGCATATTGAATTTGCTGCCACAGTATGGTCTTTAAATATAATAGGAAACATTGATAGTTTAGTGTTTTTTTTTTTTAATAAATTTGTTATAGTTGGTTTTTTAATATTTAAATGTGTTATTTATATTAAATTTTTATGTGAACTCTGATAGGCTGAATTAAATGAGAAATAAAACTGACATTGCATTTTTTGCTTGTTATTTACAATTTTTATTTATAATTTATTATTTAAACTTGCTTATATTTATGCTTGTTATTTATAAATTTGTACTTGTTATTTATAAATTTTACATATAAATTTGCAAAGAGTTGACAAGCAAACAAACCACCTTATTTCACTTGATTTGTGATTACAAATGATTTGTCTCTGGTTATGCAGAGTATAAACATACAAATGATTTGTCTCTGGTTATGCAAAGTATAAACATACAAATGATTTGTCTCTGGTTACGCAGAGTATAAACATACAAATGATTTGTCTCTGGTTATGCAGAGTATAAACATACATATGATTTGTCTCTGGTCTGCAGAGTATAAACATACAAATGATTTGTCTCTGGTCTGCAGAGTATAAACATACAAATGATTTGTCTCTGGTCTGCAGAGTATAAACATATAGAATTTTGATTAAATAGTTATAATTTGTTGATCATAATTTTTTCAATATTTATAATCATTTCAATTTAGACAACAGAAATATCACAAATATCATTATTTGTTTTTTTTTTTTTGAATAAAGTTAAAAAAAATAATAATATTTGTGATGAAGTTTTTAGATTTTTTTTTAAATATATATTTATTTAAATTGGGAAATAAAGTTTTAATTTGTACTTGGTAAATTTAAATTTAATTAGATGCACTATCACATTAATTTAATAAAAAAATCTTATTTAAAATTCATTTTATATTCAGGTGGGAAAATTCCCAATCCCATACGATACTGGCGTGATTCTTCTCTACCGAATGATATTCTTGATGTTATTCTCAGTTTAGGATACACGGTAAACAGTTTTAAATTATTTTATGTGTTCATTATTATTTACCATTTTTATTGTTTAATTTTTAAGATAGTACAAGTTTTCCAAAATGATTTAAGTTTTAAGTTGTCTTGGTATTTGTTAGTTCTCTACACTGCACAGTTTCTACACTGCACAGTTTCTACACTACACAGTGGCCCAGAGATGATCCAAACTCCTCAAAACCAACCTCTATATTGGAGTTATTTCTGAGACCCCCAGCACTCTAAAACTGATATAAATTTTTTCCTGTTTTGATTTTTGAGCTCAAATATTGGTAAAACTGAAAAAATCATATAAAAATGAAATATGAGGTCAGTTGGACAATTTTACAACATTTGAATTTCTTAACGGCATATAGTCCATTTTGTCCATAGACATCTTATATTGAAATAAGATGAAGAAATATGAAAATTTATTTTTTATGATTGCATTTTTTCAAATTGTTTTTCATTAAAACCTTTAATATGTGCAACCTTTTATTAACACTTACCTTTACACAAACAGAAAAACATTAGGCCGCACATGTTATTAACTTTAAATTGCACTCTCATTTATATATATAAATTTTAAAGCAAACTTTCTGAGCTCAGCTGAGCGTAACAGGTGCTAGGTTTTTTTATTATAAATGATATCCAATCATACATTTTGCTTTAAAAAACTGAACAAGATGCATAAAGAACAGTTTTAGATTTTTAATCATTTAAATCTTGTTAAAACCTATTTTAAATTTTTAATGTTTTTGTGGAAAGTTTCTATGCATGTTTCTATGGAAACATTCTTTGACGACAATGTGATCTTCGTTTGATAGTTTTTTTATTAGTAAATATTTTTGTTATGTTTAAGCGGTTTTTTAATGTACATTTTTGTGGATTGTTGTATAGTCTTAAATTTATATGAGCATGTGTGAAAAGTTGATTTATTGAAGAGAAAATTTTTTATTTACGTAAAAAGAAGAGTTGAATTTAGTAAAGAGAAATTAGTATATAAATGAGAAAAAAGAATTTTTAATTTCTCGTTGTGTTGAAAGCAAGAAAACTACATCATCTAGTATTTTTAATTTTAATGCTGTCAAAATATTTTTTCTAAAATACTGTTTTCTTTTTAAAATTTTTGCTTTAATTAGGTCCAATGTTTATTGTTCATTTAAATATTTAAATAACCCCCAAAAATGGGAAAAACAGTATATTTTTGTAAAAATCATTTAATACACCCTAACATTTCATAATAGGGTCATTCCATGCCAAGTGGTGCAAAGGTCCCTTATGGACCATCTTAGATTTTATTGAAATTTTTTGATTTTGTACATATATATGTCAAAAGCATGTTTTGAAAATTTTAGATCAATATATAGTATGGTTCATGAGAAAACGCTATTTAAGTAGTGGGCTATTTTGCATAAAATTTCACTCTACAAGAAAAACGGTTTTTTTTTGTCATTTTTATCAGCCAATAACTTTTGAACAATTTAGTTTTATGCTTCAGTTATTATTAGTTAGCAAGTGTTCTGTGGATACTTTAGGAAACAAAACAAAAATTTAATTCTGGCATGTTAACTTTTTCGATAATGGCGGGCTAAAGTTGAGATTTTTGTTTTTAAAATAATTTTTTTTGTGGTTTTAATGATCTTAATCTTAAAAACAAGTTAAAAGATTATTACAAATCAAATGCTGATCTACATGTGGTGGATAAACATTTTTTAAAAAAATCAGTTATAGGTCTCCAAAATGAGTCGGATCGAGATTTTCGTAAAATTGATCTGTGATGCAAAGCATCTGTTACCTAAGATGGCACTTTTTTTTTGTCATAAAATTTTTTATATGCATCAATTAAAGAGTGTTAATTAATAAAAGCCAAAAAAATTAATAGGCGCTTATTTATAACCCCCAAAAGGTAGTCTCTAAAAGTCAGGTAAATTTTCCATAAAATTATGATGCTAACATAATAAATAAATGCATTGAATTATATAATGTTATTTATTATGAAATATCAATTAAAAAGTATTAATGCTTATAACCTTATAATCCCAATACATAAAGTCCCCTCCCCCTCTGTCCCCTCCCTACTTTATAGTACAGTTTTTTTTTTAATGAAAAAGAAAAAAATTGTTTTTAAAAAAATAAACAAAATTAATAAAATTTACAAAAAGTTAAATTTCTCAAATAATAAAATAATCTCATTGATTTCTTTGAAGTCAATACAAATTTCTACTGGTTGACTGGACCTTAAGAGATTGTACTTTGCATAAAATATGCATCAGAGGTACCCAACAAAGATCATCTCTGCATGGCCACGTGAACTTTTTACATAAAGACTTTTTCATGAATTTCATATTAAGATCTTGATGCTCTTCTGAAATACTAAGAATATTTCCTAAATACCATTGAGTATCGTAAACGCAGACCACATATTCTCCCGGTGAGTAACTTAAACTTTTATTAATAAAAATTCTGCTAGTAGAAAAATCCACATTAGTGCAAATACTATCAAATGAAACTCTTTCTATTTTTATTGAGGTAAGTGATGTTGGGATAAAACTGTGGTGGTTTCGTGTCCCAGGTATTGTAGAACAAGAACGATATCTCTCTTCCAAATTGAAGTTTGTAATATGTGTTTCTATTGAAACTTTGTCAACAAAAAAAAAGATATTCCTTTCACGTGTTGAACACACCAGCTGTACATTTTGCTTGGTGTGTCAATAGGATTGTTAAGTGACTGTAGACTGGCTCGTGCAGCAAGACGTTTCACTGTTCCACCAACACCATCACAAGGGCTTTTACCATGTGATGTTGCAAAAAAGTGCCACTCTGCAGTCATGTCAAAATCGTGTTTATGGTAGCATAAGTTGATAACATTTTTGTAATTTTTATTTTGTGATGCAGCTCCATCACTAAAATAGATGTGTTCAAATGTTTGTAATTTTTCAAGTTTATCAATAACATTATCGATAAAGCAATGAACAGCATCTGTTCCATGTTTCAGATGATCTGATATAACACAATAACTTTGACTATGAAGTTTTCCATTTTTTCTAAAATACGCAACAAAGGGGTGCACAGTTGCCTGGCTGTTATTCCAGTGAAAACCTTGCATTGCATCCTGTATTAGAAAACTATAGTTTTCTGCAAAGTCAAGAAGAACTAAAGTTTTATTTTTTTTAAATTAGTTTTCAAATATTGGTAGTAGATGGTTTGACTTTTTGATATAAAATGATGCTCTCGTAAACTTTCTATCTGTTCATAAACTATTTCAATAAATTCATCTAAAGGTAAAGTTGCTGGTGCTAAAGTACATTGCTAATTTGATTTTTGCCATTGATAAAAATTAACTTCACTAATTTCATTTTCTGTAAACAAAGTGTCAATGTAATCTAACAAAACCTTATTAGCAGGACATTTATCGCAGCTATGCAGCATACAATCTCTATTTTTAATGCTACAAACCATTAGTTTCAATAAGATTTTGTAATCAGCAATTCCAGGAATTTTCCGTACGAGGAGCTTTACATTTTGATGGTACTGGTAAACACAAACTGCATGCAGACCAGAAGCACCACCCACAGGAGTGCACCACTTAGGCCTTAGCTTACAAAATTTTGAAAATCCAACTTTAAGATAATTATATTTCTTTTTAAACTCAATATGTAGCTCTTTCATATTGACTAGTAGAAGTTGCTTTTGGATGTGTTGCTTTATACTATCTACTTTAACTGAAACAAACTTTTTCTTTCCTGGACAAACCTTTGAAAATTCATCGCATTCATAGAAACAACCTCTGTAATTACATCTTCGCTTAGCTTTCTACCTGGTTTTGAAGAAGGTTTTGATAGTATTCCACTTTTTTTTCTTAATTTTCTGGCTTGTATTACAGATCTTTTGAAAGTCAAAAAATACTTCTGAGTTTTTTTTATTGGCCAACTGTCTGAAGTGAGTGTAAGAAGTGCGATTTTTTCAGAATTTGACAATGTTCTTACAAATTTTGACTTAATTTGAGTCATAATATTGTCTAAATCTGTGTTTCTTTTTTCAAACATTTTTTTGAGGATGATTCAGTTCCACCAAGTGCAGCTATTTCTAAACCTAGCCCATTGGCAACAGCCTTTTGTGTATGAGCTCTTACGCTATCAATTTTACGCTTTCCCTATGCAACTCTATCTTTTTTTGAAACAAGTTTGAGAGGTAAGCATTCAAAACTTGCAATACTTGAATTAAGATCTTCTTTTAATATATGGTTGTCAACATAAATTTCTTTTTCTTGGAGTTCATTTTCTTTTGTATTATGTTTGCAATTCAGAACTTTTCTGCAACTAGTGCAAATTTTTTGACCAGGTATTAAACCAAAATCTTTGGCATATGAAAGACTGATAACTCTAAGAGAATCTAAAAAGTGAGGGTAATAATTATTAAATGTTGTTTTTTTTTTTATTTATTTAGTGTTATTAAGGTATTTGTATTAAATTAAGATATTAGTTTAAATATTGAAACTTACTTTTCACTTTTTTTGCGTGCTTGTTCAACAGATTACAACAATACCTGCGATGTTCATTCTCATACCTCAACAAGTAAACTTTCTTGTGATAGCTACAAATAAAATCTATGGGATTTATTTTGCTTCTCAAAGAAATAAGCTCTCGGTTTAGTGTAGACAGTTCTTGATAGCATTTACTTTTTTTAGACTTGATAAGATAGCATTGTTCATTTAATACTTTACCAATAAAGCAAGTAGAAAGCTCAGGCATATTACTTATCATTAATTAGTTCTAAAATACAACAATTTATTTGGTTTTATTAGTACTTTTTAGATTGACATCGACTCATTTTGGAGACCTATAACTTTTAAATGCAGCTCTTTTATCAACTGATTTTTTAAAAAAATGTTCATCCACCACATGTAGATCAGCAGACAATTTAATTTGTACTTTAATTTAGTCTATACTTATACAATTTATACAATTTAATTTGTACTTTTAATTTAATTTGTAATTTAATCTTTTAACTAGTTTTTAAGATTAAAATCATTAAAATCACAAAAAAATTTATTTTAAAAACAAAAATCTCAACTTTAGCCCGCCATTATGGAAAAAGTTAACATGCCAGAATTAAAAAATTTTTCTTTTTTCAAAGTATCTATAGCACACTTGCTATCTTATAATAACTGAAGTATAAAACTAAATTGTTCAAAAGTTATTGGCTGTTAAAAATGATGAAAAAAACCTTTTTTCTTGTAGAGTGAAATTTCATGGAAAATAGCCCACTACTTAAATAGCGTTTTATCAAGAACTATATTAGATATTGATCTAAAATTTTCAAAACATACTTTTCACATATATATGTTCAAAATCAAAAAATTTCAATAAAATCTGAGATGGTCAATGAGGGACTTCATTAAAATTTGCACCACTTGGCACGGAATGACCCAATAATCATTGCATACACCCTAACATTAATGTTTATCCTAAAACAACAGAGAGCACTACACAATGAAATTTTCCAGGACCCAGACAAACTATGATCTAATTAAAATGCTTTGCAGCTATGATACTAAGGTGTCAAAAAAATTGCTAAGGTGTCATAAAATAGCACCTCTACAAAAAAAAAAAAAATTAATAAAAAAGAATTGATTAAATGGTATATGTATTTATATGATTAAATGATAATCTTTATATTAGACATTTGTTTTTATGTTGATTTAAATTAGTTTCTAAACAATAAGCTTTGGTGCATCAAAGCTTGCCATTAAGGTAAAAAAAACAATTTGGAAAAAATGTGAATCCAGAAACAATCCATAGAGTTTTAAGAAAAAATGACTTACATGATAAAATAACTAGTAGGAAACCATTTGTAAGCAAAATTAAAAAAATCAAGTTTGCCAATGATTAAAAAAACTTTTTAACTTTTGGAAGGATGTTTTATTCACTGATAAAAGTAAATTTAACATCTTTTGTTCAGATGGTCAAGTAATTTATTGTGAAGAGCGAATAAAGAGATGAAAGCTCAAGATATAAGACCAAATGTAAAACATGGTGGTGATAATGTTATGATTTAGGCTTGTTGCTCAGCAACAATGGGGTGAGCAATTTACATTTTATTGAAGGCAGTATGAACAAAAACCTGAACATTTCAAAAGAAAACCTAACAACCAGTGTTGAAAAATTAAACATAAAAAATCATTTTGTGTTTTACCAGGACAACGATCCCAAACATTCATCACACATAATGCGAGAATGGTTATTGTACAATTGTTCTAAAGTGATGAAAACTCAGTCTCCTGATATTAATATTAGAGGTTCATAATTTAGAAATTCAGGAACATACCATAAATGATAAAAATGATTTCAAGCATGCATTGCAGGGAGAGTAGAATAAAATAACTGCAGAATATACAAACAAATTAGTGGACTAAACTCCTAATAGACTAATTAGTAATTAAGTCTAAAGGAAATCCTATCCATTATTAATTTTATTTATGATTTTCATTTGTATTTTTTTGATTGCATCATTTTCACTGTGATGTAGCTTTTGTTAAGTTTATATTTTTTAATAAAAAATAATAATTGTTTGTAATTTTATTTTATTTTTTTGCAATAATAATATTAAAAGATATGCTCTTCAATATAATGTAGTTTATTTTCAGAAAGATTATGTTTAACTAATGTTTAATCATGAAAACATGTTTTATAATACCCTGCATCATTTTCACTGTGAGTCACTGTATGTTATATGTATGTATATATATATATATATATATATATATATATATATATATATATATATATATATATATATATATACATACATAAATTACATAAATATACATAAATTAAAGAACTAAGTAAAAATGTTTCCATTCATCAATAAAGAATAACAACAATGTTGTATTAAATATGAACAACTATAAACAACTGATTTTCACAAGCTGTTGCATATTTTATTTAGTATGCAATAAATACTAAAACATAAACAATAACCTAATGAAATTTTAGCACAATAATATAAATAAATGACAACAACATTAGTTTTATTTAGGTTTTTAGACTTTTTTAATTACTTTTTTAATTCTAAAATAATTGTTAACCGTATAGGAGGTTTGGTTTTTCCTAGAATGAATTAAGAATACACTTTTATTGAGCTTTCACTTTGATTTAAAGGCAAAATGAAATTCAATAAAAATAGGAAAAAATTTTAAAACAATGTTTGACATCTTTTTAAGTTTCGAAATTTTTCTCAATTTAAATGTAATATAAAAAATACACATAAAAAGCTAAGTGTTGAGTTGAAGTCAAATTGAAACCAACAAAAATTGAAGTGAATCTTTTTGTTTGTTGTTTTTTTTTTGTTAGTCTATTTATTATTTATTTGTCTATTATTAAACTTTGATTAAGTTTTTAATTATTTTTTATCTTTTTAAAAGGATCCGACACCAATTCAACGTCAAGCCATTCCTATTGGTCTTATGAATAGGGATATTATTGGAATTGCAGAAACTGGTAAGATTTTGTTTAAAACAATCTTAAATAGTTGTAAATGAAAATATTTTTGACATTTTTTTTTTCTTTTTTTGAAACATAGGAAGTGGTAAAACAGCTGCTTTTGTTATTCCACTATTAGTATGGATTACTGGATTACCAGAATCTGATAGGTATGGATTACCAGAATCTGATAGATATTCAGTTGTACGCTTTTTTAATTTAAGAGTAAAGAGCCTCAGTCTTGCTACCACATAAAAGTATGAAACTTTGAGTTATAAAAAAAGTAAAATTTGATGAATATAAAGTATAAAATTAATAAAAGTTATTTTTACTTAACTAAAAAAAACTGGACTTTATGAAGGCTTTTTTTATCACTCAAAAACTCTGATATTTTATAGTGTTTTTACTTTTAAGTACTGATAAAAAAAATATTTATTTAAGCTTTACTTTCTATCTTTGTATGAATTAGTTATAGGACATTAGCTTGAGAAAGATTTCTGTAAAGTCAAAATAAGACAATAAGGATAATAGCTATGAGCTATTATACTTTATTATTTACTTAATTTCTAAGATTTTTATTTGAAGTCTGATGTTAGGAATTTTTTTATCGACCTAGTTTTAAAGTTGTTGTAGTAAAAAAAAGATTTTTCTTAAATTAAAATACTTTTTATATGAAATATTTTTATATAGATATGTAATTTTCTAAAAATTATTTTTTGATTTTTCAAGTTTTGATTTTGGCTAAACTTTTTTTTTTTTTTTTTTGTTGATCAATGTTTCGATATTTATTCCTGAACATCATTTTGTTTACTGCAAGCATTATGAGGCTAACATGCGCGATTTAAAGTTTATTTGAAACAGCATAATCCAACATTTTATTTAAATTCTATTTAAATAAAATTCAAATTAAAAGTAAATCATCTATGGAGCAAGATATAGAGTACAGCTTTTTCTAGTGCAAACTCAACAATTTGGAGTATTTTTCTGCTTAATTGTTTCACAAATTTCTTTCTGAGAAGTTACTAAAGAAGAAGTGACTAAAGAAAAACTTGTGTAGTAGTTGTCTTTGAACAGTATATGGTTTTGTCTAAAAAAGGTTCCATCAGTGTAGCTGGTATTCACTCTGTTTTAGGCATATCCTCGTTTCCATATAACTTTTTTATTTCTAAAATTGTAACTTTTCATTTCTAAACCGGTTTCCAAATAGCATATTCGTTACAATAATACCTATTTGTTGCTCATTTTATTTGGGTTCTTGAAATTTTTTTTTTGCTACTACTTTCTTGCACCTACCATTTCTTCATCCTTAGTTTTTTTTTATTGAGATCCATTGTAGCAAATGTAGCTGTATTATTTGACCATTGTACCATTGTAGCTGTATTATTTGATAAACATTTAGTGAAGGAGGGGGGGACAGTTTCTGTCTGAAAATCATCAGGTGTAGCTTAATAAGGATTTACAACAACTTGTATTGTTAGGTTCACTTTCATCAACTAATAAAATACCAAGGTCCATATCATCACTGCTATCAACCATAACTAATTTTAAGATATCGTACCTTTTTGAATGTTTTTTTTAAGAAGCCTTTTTTTAAAACACTATATCTTTTGAACTATAAAATTAGTTATGACAAAAGTATTTCAGTGCTTGATTATTTATTGTTCTATTTTTCATATCTGTAAAGAACATTATCTATACTTTACCAAACCTTTTAAAATTTTAAAAATTTATTATTTTTTTTTTTATTACTGTAATAGATCTCTTTTTTGCAAAGTTAATATGCATATATATAATATATATATATATATATATATATATATATATATATATATATATATATATATATATATATATATATATATATATATATATATATATATATATATATATATATATATATATAAAAAGTGATATGCAATAGTTGTGCACTTGTTGAGTTCTGTGTTAGAAAAAATATTTGGTTTGAAGCCCCACCATATTCCTGTTATTACTTTGTGAAACTTGTTATTCAGTGACCTTGTTTTTCAACCTTTGTGTTTTGGAGATGTATTGCTGGAAAAATAATCCAACAGTTATATGTATATATGTAAATAAAAACCTTTTTTTTAAAGGCAATCAGTCTCTGACAATGGCCCTTTTGCTATAATCTTGGCTCCTACAAGAGAGCTTGCCCAGCAGGTATTTTTTAGTTTCTTTTAATTTTTATTTTTTAATTGATTTTCATGATAATTTTCAAAACAATTAAAAAAAAAATAACTTTTAGATTGAAGAAGAAACTATTAAATTTGCAAAGAAACTTGGTATACGTACAGTTGCAGTAATTGGTGGAGTATGTAATAGTTTTTTCACCTCATTTTATTTTTTCAAACCTCATTTAAATAAAATCTCCATATATATAAATCTCCATATAAAAATAGGTGTGAGAATAGAAGACTCAATTTTTTGTTCTAGTCTAACAGTATTAATGTAATGAGATCTATATATAAAAGTTAGTATTAACAATTTGACAACCAATATATTATCCACTATACTTGCTCAATGGATTTTGAGTTCTTCTGGTGTTTGATTATACGTCACCTCCTCTGCTATATCTATTTGGTTAATGTAATTAGTATCTCTTTTAATATCTTGTATGATCATGTCATATTTCAGTAAAAAATATTCAATTATTATTCTGGCTTATAGGATTGTTTTATTTTTATTTTTTTAATGAACATGAGTTATTGTACCCAGACAATATATTGTTCTGGTATTGATGAAGGTAATGATGGTTTGTTAGGTTTTTTATTGATGAAATTATTGATGGTTTTTATTAATGATGGTTGATAGACTTTGATATTGGTCTTTGTTGGCAAATTTATTTATTAATGTTTGTCTGCATCTCAGGTTGTAACATTAGCTGCCATGGCAACTGGTTAACTTGGTTTTTTTTAGTTTTTTTTAAATTGAAAACCTTTTTTTTTTTTTGAAAAAAGTGCAAAACCAATTGTTAATTAAACATTACTGAATAGATAAATAGTTCAAAGATATTTTTACAAGCTAACAAGTTTGATTTATAACATTAAAGTATAACTACACTGGATTTCCTTATAGAAATCCAGTGTAGTTATACTTTAATGTTATAAATCAAAAAAAACTTTCCTTAGCCAGCCCTAACAGATTTTTCTATACTATTTTTTTATGTATGTCACATTTTATTTTATTCTATAAACCTATTTTTTTAATACAATGAAAGAACCAATTTTCTTCTATTGTAAACATAGTATATTTTTGATAAACTTTGACAGAATTACCCTGCAACATTAACATTACCCTACAACATTACCCTGCAACATGTTCATTTATGTGATGCAATACGCTTTTGTTTATAATTAATGGAGAGATTTTTTTTAAGCTTTCAAGAGAAGATCAAGGTTTTCAACTGCGTCTTGGTTGTGAGGTTAGTTGTTTGTTTTTCTTAGTTTACTTTTTTTTTATAAATGTGCACGGTTTTTTTTGTGTGTTCCTTCTGAATAGTTTAAGCTTTTTTTGGTTTTAGATTGTTATTGCAACTCCTGGTCGTCTTATTGATGTTTTAGGTAATTGTTGTTTTGCAAACACAATTTTTTAAAATTTGTTGACCTTTGTGCATCATTTTATACAGTTAAGTATGTATGAGTTGGTGTTTGATGGTGGGTTGGTGTTTAGGTTTTGATAAGAATATCTGCTAACTTTTACTTAAATTTTATTTAGTTCAATTGACTTATTGTAACTCTAATTCAAATTTTAGAAAATCGCTATTTGGTTTTAAGTCAATGTTCATACGTTGTAATGGATGAGGCTGATCGCATGATTGATATGGGATTTGAACCTGATGTTCAAAAGATTCTAGAACATTTACCTGTCACTAACATCAAACCTGATACTGAGGAAGCTGAAGATGTTAATGTAATTGCTAAGAACTATTCATCAAAAGATAAATATAGACAAGTATGAATTGTTAATTATATAAAATGCATTTGATTTTTTTCATTTTTTATTTATTATACTTTATTTTTGTCTCAATCATTTATTTACATTACAATTGTGCAGTGTTATATTTAGACTGTGATGTTTACAGCTACTATGCCTCCAGTTGTAGAAAGGCTAGCTCGTACATATCTTAGGTAGAGTTGTTCAAATAAAATTAATTTGATTGCAAAAATTCGGAAAACATACAATTGCAGAAATAAATATTTTGTTATTTATGTAATTTTTTAATTTTTTTTTATTAACAGGCGACCAGCCATTGTTACAATAGGTTCAGCAGGTAAACCTGTTGACCGTGTTGAACAAAAAGTTTACATGCTCTCTGCTGCACAAAAGAAGTATTTTTATTTATTATTTTTATAATTTTTTAAAACATATATATATATATATATATATATATATATATATATATATATATATATATATATATATATATATATATATATATATATATAATGGTGTTCACTCTACTGGAAAAAATGTATAGGGTTGTTTTTAAAAAACATGATGGAAAAACTGGAAAATGTATTTTTTGCGCATCATTGATTCAATGATGCACAAAAAATACATTTTCCAGTTTCTTTTGCATGTTTTTAAAAAACAGTCCTTTCTAGTTCTTTCAGTTTTTCCAGCAAAGCGGACACCCTGTATGTATAACTTTTCATAATGTATAAATTTTGTTGGAATAGTATTGTAAAACTTTTTTTTTCTTTATATAGAAAGAAACTATTAGAAATATTGAGTAACAAACTTGATCCTCCAGTCCTTGTCTTCGTTAACCAAAAAAAAGTATGTTTATTTTAATATTTAAAAAAAAGTGTAATAAAAATTTAATAAATTGTTAAATTTAATTTTCAACTTGAAATTTAGTTAAGTTTTATTGTTGTTTCAGTGACTATACTATTTTAAGTCCATTTTTGTTAATTTGTGTTTTAAAGACAAAAATATTTTAAAATTTACCAAGTATAATATCATATAATGTGTAGTTATAAGAATAACACTTTAAATAAAATGAAGCTGTAAGGAAGTAATGAGAAACTTTGGTTTGATCATATTTTTAGATTTGGTTTTATAAATACCAATAATCTTAAGTATCACAAAAAATATTTACAAACTTTTTACTTTACCAAATATTAATTACTTTTCTAAATCACATTTTATAAAGAAAAACATGACATTTAAGAAACTTGTCATCACTTGAATTGATGACATTGAATAAAATCATGAATTGATATTGATCACATTGAATGAAATTATAAATTGAAAATAAATCACTGAAGAAAATTGTCATCACTTGTTATATAATTACTTAATAAAACATAAAAAAAAAATCATTTTATATTAGGGTGCTGACGTTTTGGCAAAATCATTGGAGAAACAAGGCGTATGTCTTTATTTATTTTATCATATTTTATATTTGTAATTATTTCATTAACTTATGTGTACATACACATAACAGTACATTCATACATACTACGTACATGCATACATACATACATACATACATACATACATACATACATACATACATACATACATACATACATACATACATACATATACATCTATTTATTTGTAGTATGTGTATGTATTTATATAAATATGTGTGTTTAGTTTTCCGCAACAACACTTCATGGTGGTAAAGGCCAAGAACAGAGGTTTTTTAATGTTATTTTGTTGTTTAAAAATAGCTGTTTAATTCTATAATAAGTGTGCACAATTGTTATGAGGGTTTTTTTTATTTTTAAATTTTTAACCAATATTTTTTTGTGTATATTTGGATGAGCTGTTTATTGATTTTTATTGAAATATTTATTGATTATGTTAATTGTTATAGAGAGTTTGCTTTAAATTCATTAAAAGAAGGCAATAAAGATATTCTAGTTGCAACAGATGTAGCCGGTCGTGGTATTGATATCAAGTTAGTTAATTTTGATTTTGCAGATGGTTTTATGTATTTAATTGTTTTTCTTACTTTACTTTTATGTAAATATTTTATTTTTTAATAGGGATGTATCCATGGTTATCAATTATGACATGGCGAAAAATATTGAAAGTACTTATACTTTGATTACTAATTTTTTTTTGTTGAAAAATATTTCATAAAAAAGTATTGATTTTGAATATGTGAATGGAGTAAATATCTAACCTCATTGTGCAAACTAAAAAACGATATTTTTTTTCAGGTTATACGCATCGTATCGGTCGCACAGGTCGTGCTGGAAAAAGTGGTATTGCTGTTACATTTTTGACTCAAGAAGACTCTGAAGTATTTTACGATCTTAAGCAGTTGCTGCTTAGTAGTTCGGTAAGGTTTTTTATATAAAGTTTTAAAATCATAGAAATTATAAGAATACTTTTAAATCAATTTTAACACTAAACCAATGACGTTAAATATTTAATTCTTATATATTTTGTCGCGTGAAATAAAGAAAAACTTTTTTGAAAAGTTATGTTTACTTAAATTTTGTTATTATTTAGCTTTTAAACATTTAGAGGGGGTCGCTCTCTGAGTGTTTAAAAAACAATCTTGCTTTTGAATGCCTTTAATTAGGAACAGCTTCTTCAATTATTTACTAGTTATCATGGCATTAGTTAGGCGACAAATAACAAAATTACTAATTTGCAGACTCAACAAAAATACACACATTTTTTATTATTAATTTCCGAATTTATTGGTTTTTTATAATTTTTTGCGGGAAAAACTGTCATATTCAACATTTAATAATGTAGAGGGGTCAATTTTTTATTCTAGTTTTTTATTGACGTCTTTAAACTATGTTTTAAATTTATATAGGCAAGCAGCTGTCCGAGCGAATTAATGAATCATCCAGACGCCCAACATAAGCCTGGTACCGTATTGACCAAAAAACGAAGAGAAGAAACCATTTTTGTGTAGTAGCAGATAATTGTGTTTCCTACAAACTTCTTGTCGATTTGTTATTGGCTATGTAAAAACTTTATCATATTTTACAATACTTTTTGTGTATTACTTGATGACTTGATAATTTCTTAGATAGGCGATATTAATAGCGCTTAATTAATATTATTTAACCTGATTATCACCATCCTACAAAGGATGTTTTTGATTATTCATTAATATTATTTGATCTGGTTATCGCTATCGTTATCATCAAGACCAATCTTATCTTTATCATCTAAACAAAAAATCATCGTCTAAACAAGTTACTCGAATAAACGAATTTTATTAAACAAACTCTTTAACTTAGCTTTTTATCTCTTTATTAAATCTTTATTACTTTCAAACTACCGATGTGTATTCTGTTTTACCACTTTCAAAATACCGATGTGTATTATATGTTTTACCACTTTCAAAATACCGATGTGTGTTATATGTTTTACCTATTAAGTTATTTTTCCGTTTTAGATTAGACTATAGATTTAATTCTAATCTGAGAGAAAGTTTAATTTAATTTGTTATAGCTATTTTACATCCAGAGTTCAACATTAGGCTACAATAGATGGTATTAATAGATTTATCTTTTAATCGGTATTAATGAAGTTAATTAAATTTTATATATTCTTAAATGTTCAGTAGAGCAAAATAGCTTTAAAACTGGACAAAATATTTTTTTCGGGAGTTAAATAATTGTTTTAGGGTTAGGGTAAACAGTATAGTTATTGGACACTTGAGCTATGACTCAACTTTATGTGAGTCTTTCAAATATAATAAATAAACACGCTTTGAAATTCAAAGAGTGTTTTATTTATTATGCATCAAAGACTCACATGAAGTAATATTTCTTTATTATTTTAACAATTGTGTTTATTTTATGAATAATCTCGTCGTTTTACAGATTTTTTAACGAAAAACACGCTGAAAAGTATAGTTATATTGGTCACATGAACTAACAATGGACTATGATTGTTCAAATTTAT